ACGCGCATATATATGCGCACAAAAAAACCATATATATGCGTTACAAACAAGCATGTGGTATATGCAGTCGCAGAAAGTCGTCATATAAGTGGCACCGAATTATACCGTCAGCAAAAAACCCATTCATGTACGATGGAGCTGAAAAGTAACTTAATTTGAATCAAGCATGGCTGCAATGCCCGCGTTAATTTCGAGCAAGATTTGGTTCTTATTCTTTGCCCTCACAGTAGTGGTTGTTGTTGGCTCCCCGACTACGGATTTGTTGGAATCTGTGGATTGTCTCTTGAGAGACTGTGTGCGCTATTTCACAAATGCTGACCGAAACAACGATCGATTCAGTTAGAAATTAGCGTCCGACAGGCAAAACACAACTCGTAAGCTCTTAATGTAATGTGAAACATGACCTTGAGACCTTTCTTCTTTTCTCTCTCGCACGCGAATTATCACCTTTTCGCCTCCACGAACACGTTCTAAGCCTCCTAGTCTCGAAGCTTTTTATTATTTCCCGGGTATTCTCACTGACTGTAATAGCCTTCCACCTGCCTCTCTTTCCTTAGAGCTCCTCCACTTTAATTGTAATTTTCATGGTTAACTAACTCGTTCTCGTTCAACTTTCATAAAATGTCTCTCAGGTATCAATTTGCTATTAGTTCTCAAGCCCCAATTATTTGGCCAAGGATATCCCACTGATACCCTTTTACTGTCCGTAACAGCCTTACCACCACTGACTTTAAATAGAAACTAAAACTTTACTTTTTAAGCCTGGATTGAATTAGCGCAGGATTATCATAGTTTATTGTTAGTTTATTTGTCACTAGTACTTCTAGTTTTACCTCTGCTATAGGACTGCTTGCATTGCTTAATTTAAGTTTTGTATCTTGTTTTAGTTTTGAAATTTCGCCCTTCAGTGGCTTCATTTCTACATAAAATAATTTCTGTCATTTTGACCACAGGTCGTATAAGCCCACGGCTTTGGTTTTACTGAGTTTTGTACTATATGAACGATGGAATAATAAAGTTAAAGTTAAAGTTACTAGCGCTACAGAGAATTACATGCATACTGAGTAATCATCTCCTGTGGTTTATGGTTCTTTAGGTGTTCCTGCCCCTGGGAAGGGGGGCACTTTAGGAATTTCTGGGTGGGGATGTGCCGCTGGGAGCCTGGAACCCTTAACCTTTACCAGAGCTAGTTCAGCTGAATTTTGCTACCCTATAATAGAGTAAACTCCCCAAATCCCCCTATCCTAGAGTAGCTGTGTACCTAGTCTAGATAAAATCTTCAACCAACTGATCAGTTTCCTGAAAAATGATACCCTGTTCTAGAGCCAAACGCTCTGATTTATATACCCTATCCTAGAGTAAACTGCTTGAAAACCATACCCTTCACAGCGGCACATACCTATATAGCCCATATATGGCAGTACCCCCCCACCCTTGGGGTTCCTGCTAGGAGTTGACATGCAGTTGTAAAGTGTTTTAATTTTCTTTGACCTCTGTTTAAGCCTAAAGCTTTAATTTAATATTACGGAGCCCTATATATAGTTTCTATGGTTTTCTCCGTAAATCCTGGATCTGGGGAATATCTAGATGCATGCATGTAAGTTTCTTTGTCCGGGAATGTGATTATTTCTTACTATGCCAGGGGAGAGGGTACTCCCTATGATGGCCTATAATGGGAGGCTCCGCCCGAAATCCTGGAGAGGTACTTAACAAATATTTGTACGGGAAAGCTCCGCCCCGAGGTCGAACCCCTTACCCGTCGAGAAAGCGTTCTACATTTATGACTGATTCCTATTTTATGACAGTGCAGGTTTCCAGCAGTTAAAAGGGATAGAAGGTTCTAAGCAAGATATGTGAAAGGAGTACCATTTGTCAATAGAAGGTATACGAAACCGTGAAAAATGTTATATAAAATGTTAAGGGGTGGGCCTCCGCTAGCGCTGTAGCGCCAGTAACTTTAACTTTAACTTTATTATTCCATCGTTCATATAGTACAGAACTCAGTAAAACCAAAGCCGGGGGCTTATACGACCTGTGGTCAAAATGACAGAAATTATTTTATGTAGAAATGAAGCCACTGAAGGCGAAATTTCAAAACTAAAACAAGATACAAAACTTAAATTAAGCAATGCAAGCAGTCCTATAGCAGAGGTAAAACTAGAAGTACTAGTGACAAATAAACTAACAATAAACTATGATAATCCTGCGCTAATTCAATCCAGGCTTAAAAAGTAAAGTTTTAGTTTCTATTTAAAGTCAGTGGTGGTAAGGCTGTTACGGACAGTAAAAGGGTATCAGTGGGATGTCCTTGGCCAAATAATTGGGGCTTGAGAACTAATAGCAAATTGATACCTGAGGGACATTTTATGCAAGTTGAACGAGAACGAGTTAGTTAACCATGAAAATCACAATTAAAGTGGAGGAGCACTAAGGAAAGAGAGGCAGGTGGAAGGCTGTTACAGTCAGTGAGAATACCAGGGAAATAATAAAAAGCTTCGAGACTAGGAGGCTTAGAACGTGTTCGTGGAGGCGAAAAGGTGATAATTCGCGTGCGAGAGAGAAAAGACGAAAGGTCTCAAGGTCATGTTTCACATTACATCAAGAGCTTATGAGTTGTGTTTTGCCTGTCGGACGCTAATTTCTAACTGAATCGATCGTTGTTTCGGTCAGCATTTGTGAAATAGCGCACACAGTCTCTCAAGAGACAATCCACAGATTCCAACAAATCCGTTGTCGGGTAGTTAACAACCACCACTACTGTGAGGGCAATGAATAAGAACCAAATCTTGCTCGAAATTAACGCGGGCATTGCAGCCATGCTTGATTCAAATTAAGTTACTTTTCAGCTCCATCGTACATGAAGGGGTTTTTTGCTGACGGTATAATTCGGTGCCACTTATATAACGACTTTCTGCGACCGCATATACCACATGCTTGTTTGTAACGCATATATATAATATGGGTTTTTTGTGCGCATATATATGCGCGTTTGTAAGAAAATGGTCATATACTTGGGAAGAAAACGCAAGTATACGTGACAAAAAACGCACGTTTATCGTGTAGCAAGAATGATTGCAAGTATACGTGGGAAAAAGCGGCACGTATATCGTGTCATAATTTTGAAACAAATGGCCGACCATAATAATGAACCGGCTCTAATGGAGACTTTTACATCCCAAGGTGAGTACGACTACGAGAACGGTTAAGGCGGATTCAGTGTTAAGAGCTGGGAAAGGGTGCCCACTCCTAAATCCACCCACGATTTTAAAACGTAGAACCGCAGCAGCCGTTTTAAGAGTTTAAGGTACAAGGTCAACCTGCCGTAAGGCCGGACTAAATGAATAGGATGATGAGGCTCCAGACACAAATAAAGAAATATTGGATGAAAAAGAGACCAGTGTAAAATTATTTTCAAAAAAAAAAAGGAAAAGAAAAACTGGGTCCATGTACTAAGATATATTACGCACATTGTTTTAACTTACGTAAGATCAATGTAAGCTATTTTTCAAAAAAAAGAACAAAGTCCATGTAGATATATTGCTCACATTGTCCATAGTAATAGAAAAACAATGCTTTGAATCTCTCGTGGTGTGTGTGGTCTCTTCTTATTGAAAGGCATCTGCTTGGTCACTGTTCTCCGCTTGCCGTGCTACTCTTTTCTTAAATCTATCACTCTGAACTGGGTCGCGGCATAAATCCCCTTTCCAAAAACAGCAAATCCTACATCATACACTGTATGGGTTTCCTCACCATCTCTCAAGTACCCCTCTTTTTTAAGCAAGCAGCTGAATTAAGGTAAGTAAATAATATTAATAGAGGCTTTTAAAACCCATTTTTCCCTTCAATCTCCTAATGAAAAGTTAAAAATTATTGCCTCCCTACCCCCTATCCCTAAAACAGGATTAAAAACACAACCCAAGTTTTTAAAAAATATATATAATAAACTCCATGCAACCTATCAAAATGATCGAATAATTGGTTTCTAATCAAACCATAACAATAACAAGGCTCTGAAGAGAGGACTTTAGAACTATTATAATGAACCACCGTATAGTCTTGAAGCAATTGTAATTTTGCTGAGCAGCAACTACTGAGAAGTTACCACGCGCCTACTTAGGAATTGCCACAGACCTACACCAGCGGGATGTTGGAGCAATACAAGCAAGTCCCCCGAAGAGTGATGAACTGAACTGAACGTTGGCACTTAATATATGTAAAGAAATTACAAAAAAAAAAAGTTGTTGCCCCAATACTCCTGCTATTAAAAGATCCCCTGTCTTAGCAGACAGAAAATCCAAATAAACATACATTGATACAAGTTTGTATCGCTTTCTGAACTCTCGTAGTTGTTGTTCAACTATGGTATCTTTCCTGAACTAAGATGTCTTCATTGAACTAAAAAAAAACAAGGAAAAAATTTATATGCTCTCAAACTGGCAATGTCCAACAGATTCGAGTCGTCCTTCGGAATTCTCAGTTCTAATTCTTGTTCATTAATGATGTCTTTTTTGGGTTCACAAATGCGAATGATGCCCCCTTCTATTCTCCTAAAAATAAAGTGACCCGCCATCCCCCCTCACAGCCTACCTGCCCGTCCCCCGCCCCCTCAAAAAATATAAGATAAGGGACGGACCATTAGAAAAGTTATGGGGGGGAGGGGAATTTTCGAGCCGCAGGAATTTTTTTTCGTTATCAAATTCCTTGCATGAATTTTTTTTAGGCCATAGCATGAATATTTTTTTAGGATTAATTGGCGCGCACGAATTTTTTTCATTTAATTTTCCCTTGCGCGAATATTTTTTTTTTTTTTTACTTCGCCCCCCCCCCCCACCCCCACGTAAATTATCTAATGGTCCGCCCCTAAGTTTGTCCCCTAAGTTTGATTCAAATTTCTTCCCAGGGCCGCTCGGTTGCTGAAATAAAAAAAGCAGAAAAAATGGCGGCAGTGATCTTCAGCGGATGGTAGCGCGCACACAAAAAAAGATATAAGGCAAGCCGTAATGAGTATTCTAAGAAGAGCTTGGACGAAATATCAACAGCTGCTTATAAAACATCCTTGGAAAACACAAACTATAGGAACAGGTATTGTAATTAATGAAATTCCGTTTTTAGATCGATTTGAGGAGACATCATCTCACTCAAATCATTTGAGTGAGGTGATGTCTTCTAAAAATCCAAAGCTTAATTGCTGTGAAATAAGCTTAAATCCTTTTACCGATCGCGTTGTAGGGGCTTAGAATTGTTCTGAAAGACAAATGAGCTTCGGATTTGCGGATTTGCCATTATTTTGGAGACACAGTTGGGACAGTTTGTGTATTGTTAGATTTCGATGCACTCAAAATGGAAAACATAGCAAAATAGAAAAGGCCTAAATGGAATGAAACTCTGGGCATGAAACCATACTATGGCGCGCTGTTTGTTTCAAAATTATATTTGTCAGACAATGTTGTATCATATCATCGTCTTCTTGTCATTTATCTCTCATCCCTTATTTGGCATCATTTGTTGTTGCTTTTTCATACGTCTCCTCTTGATATTTGGTGCTCCAGAGAGAGAGAGACTCTCGGTTTAACATTTTCTATGTCGTTTGTACGCACTACTCTATCAGTTCTATCCATTACTCTGTCAGTTGTACACACTACTCTGTCATTTGTAAACATTTTCCCTGTTATCACATACACTGAGAGGTGTCCGTATTAACTGGGTTGAATTCAGAGAAAATGTAACTTAAGGGTAACTTAAGGACTGTCTTTCCCCAGGGACAAAGCAAACTGTCTGTAATAATTAGGTGTCTTTATTAAGCAGGTGTCCAAAAAAATGGGGTTTGACTGTATACACAGGGCTGTCAACTCTCCTGCATAATCTGGGAGACTCCAGATTTTGAACCATTTCTCCCAGTCTCCAGGTTAGAGTCTGAAATCTCGCGGATAATTGCCATGGTTTGCCATTTCTTGTAGAACTTAACTTTCTGACAGTGAAATTTTTTCAAATACTTTGCGTTGTTTGAGTTATTTTACTGTTAACATCAAACATTTCCTCACAAACTCCGGTATGCCATTGTAAATAATATAAGCAATAATGTGGTTGGTGGGAAGAAAGCCAATTAATTAGGTCAAATGTGACAATTCCAACAATATCTTTTTGTGCAGTTTTTTTCACAAATGATGTCATGTGCCATGGCCATTATGACATCATTTATCATCCCTTATCTCATCAAGTCTCAATATTTGAAGACATGAGGGGTTAACAGCCCTGGTATACACCTGGTCCCGGTTGTTCAAAAGATGGATAGCGCTATCCACAGGATAAATCATTATCCAGTGGATAAGTATTAGGAAAATGAATTGCGCTATTCAGTGGATAGAGATTTATCCAATGGATAGCATTGATTATCCACCTTTTGAACATCTGGGGCCTGATTGAAAAAACATTGTCTCTTGAAAAGTATAAACCATGAACGATGGGACCTAATGGATTTATGGGTAGAACTTTATTAGCATTGCAAGTTCTTTTCAGAAATGTTTACTTTATTGAAGCTTTTGGTGACAATGCATCCAAAAAACATCAAACGGTTTCCAGATTTTGTGGCAATAAGCTCACAGCTTCACCTGTCCTGGACACATAACAGATGTCTACAACTAAAAAGCATAGGTATATCACAAACGCACACTTGAAAATCATAAGATATAGGACCTAAAAAGCTTTCTTGGAAGACAAAAAACAACAACAACAACAACAGCATGCCTTGCAGAAAGTGCTTTAGGTATTTGCATCCGCACGAGTATCTTGTGACAATGCAAACTTTTGTCAAAAGATCTTTGAATTTGCATACATGTATACCCATAAATACTTGAGGCCTCATCATTCATGGTTTATACTTTTGAGTGACAACAACAACAACATTATCCAGAGGATAATGCTCTTGGCCGACAGACTGTCTTCATGCAAATTTCACAGTAAAATGTTGCGTTAGATACCTAGACATGTATATGTGCAGTGCATGCAGCTCAAAACATCTGTCCAAAAAATGCGTGTGTGCAGTTTGTACCTCTGCATCTGAGTGTGCATGTATATCTCTGACACATCTGATTAGTATACATGTATGGACCACCTTTATACCTCTTTCACAATGGAGTCTTATTAATATATATTTTTTATATGTGTGATAAATTCAGACTTTCTGACCTTGTTTCAAAGTAAGAATTTTTTTGTATTTTGCACAAAAAAATTGACAAGGTCAGAAATGCTTATTATCATACTAATAAAAGAAATACATATTTAACCCATTCGCTCCTGGAGATTTTGCCGAAAAACGCGTTTTGAAGCTAGTCGAGTGGTTTTCTGATCACTGTCGTGCTATAAAGAGCTAAAACTTACCACAAACCGGTTTACAGGTCGTACACTTGGCGGCCTTCTGCTCCAGATGCAAAATATCAGCTTGCGAAGTTCGCGCATGCGCAGAAAGCAAAATTTCGAGAGTTTTTGGGTTTAAAAGTGACACAGCAGTCTTGACTTTTACTTTTCGCTTTCTCTCCTCCCTTCTTTTTTCGCTTTTCTTGCCTCATTTTTTTTTTCTCTTGCTGGGCATTTAGTAGGCTTCATTTTGGTGGGAAGAGTTTTTAGGGAAGCTTTTAGGATCTTAGGATTAGGTGAAAGGAAAGGTAGGTGGGTAATGGAACAAGATTTTCATGGAGATTTTCAGGTCCTTGTCACGTGGTTTTTTGCTTCTTTCTCCGGTGTCCTTGACTGAATTGTGCTCATTCTGGTATGGTTTGAAAGATCTCTTCACTCTGCACAAGTTAGCAAAGAAAGTTGTCCTTGACCGTTAAAACTGATGACGTCACAAAGGGTAGAAAGGACCTGGATCCGCACGGGTGGTTACGGGCGGTTCAGGGGCGAATGGGTTAATACGCCACCAGATTGTAAAATACGTCTATTGTCTACTTATTGCTCTTATTTTGTGAAAGGTTTGCATTACAACTTCACGCCGATTTAAGTGTGTACCCCAAATTTTGGGGTTATCAAGTATTCATATATTCAGGCTATTGTTCCTGGCATTGTCGATTACCTTCCGAAGAATCCACGAGCGGAATTCCTTTGATTTAGGTGCGATATGTCTCTTTTGTTTCGAATTTTTTTGCTTGATTGACTTTTTAATCCCCATTGTTACCTGATGAGTTTTAAATTTATCCATTAAAACACTCGGACTTGCCTGTTAAATTTGCTGCAGTCTGAAGGAACGCTTACAAGTCTTTTAAGCGTGGCGGACAACTCTGGTTGCATAACATATTTTCGGTCACGCACCGTATTACAAAGGAAACAAGCCTGATAAATTTGAAATTGTTTAAAGCTTATAAATACCTGGTCTCCAATAGTATTTTTTTATTAAATACTCTCTTGCCTTGAAAATAATTTGGCGTTTAAAAAATTGCTGCGGAAGTTATTTATTAGAATGTTTCATTCATTCATTCAGTAGCTCTGCAATCAAGAGCGAACGAACAACTCTTTTCAAAATGTAAACAACGCAAGCGGTGAATGCATTTAACGGAGTGACACAGTTTTATTAGAGTGTAATTTCACTTTTTTGGATGTTTTCGCCTGCCTTTCAGTTTTTTTTTTGTTGAACAAAACCTTGCGTTTCAGTTACGTGACTGCAGGGCCCGAAATAACGCGTATTGTCAGTTCACCGATTTGCATGACAACTTGATTCGCGGAGTAGTCGAGTGAGACGGGAAATATCTAAAATCAAAACAAGAGCTGTAATCGACATATCAAAACTTGCGGAGTTCATAATTCCTCGAAATAATTTTGTAGAAACGCTTGTATAGTTTCATTGCTCTGGAGAAATGAATAACTGTTATGATTGAATGAATGGATAACTCTCGGGCGGATTTTATTAAGCGATAGGCGAGAAAAAATGCTTCAGCGGCTTGCTTTGTACTTCGAAACCTCGGCAAGAAAAAAAATCCAATCTCGGTCCACAGTGGTCGAAATTTCTCGTTCAAGATCTCTTTTTGAAGCTCTCAAAATTCTACTTTTTGAAAAATACGTGTCCAAGTCGAAGAAGTTTTGCGAAAGACTTAAATCCATAAACTTCTACCGTAATATGTGCGATAATTCTCTGCAGTTTTATTGACACAGTTAGAACAAAAGGATACCATTAAAACTTCGCGGCCCTGGGCAGCTTAATTAAGCCATTGTTCAATTCCTTTGAATTCCCTTCTGAGCCTTCCGCCATAAAATCTCACCTTCTTTAAACCGAGTCAAAACGAGCACTCTCGAAGGGAAAGTCCGGAGGAATAAATTGAGCCTTCAGGGTACAAAATCCAGCGGTTATGCCCATTTCTGAAATACACACTTAAATCGGCGTGAAGTTGTAATGGAACCCAGGAGTCATTTCATAAGTAGGCTGAGTATGTTTGTCTGGGTGAACGTAGTCCTGAATGTTGACAGTGACTGACGTTTCAACAACCTGTGCAGTATTCATCTTCTGAGTGACTCTGAAGATGAATACTACAGCTTGTCAGGGACTGTCAACAACAACGGTCCCATTCAGGACTACGTTCACCTGGACATTCATGCATAACCTTCTTTTGTTTTTATTTTGCTGTTAGTTTTTATGGACTTTATTGTAAGTCATTGCATCTTAAACAGTGGGCATTAACTGAGGAACTGTATACAAGTAAACATACATTTATCTTCTTACAGTGTAACTCAAACATTTGAACAAGCATCCACATCATTGGCACTAAACGAATCTTTGGCTAAATGTTTTCCATCCATTATTAGTTTGAGCATCTTGAGGAAGGATGAACATGTACATATACCAGGATGCAAAGAAAGATGTGTCTGGTAGCCCGGGGCTGGTGGATTTTGCAATTGGGCTAGTGATTTGTGTTCTTAACTTGCCAGCAGGGCAAGTGCAGTTTTTTGGGAAATTCAAATTACAGTGAAGAACTGTAATCAATGCTGCTCATGAAATTTTTTGAGGGGCTACTTAAAAGACTCTTGGGCTAGTACATACTAGCAACATCTTGCATGCCTGAGTGGCTGCTTGAAGCCGTAAAACCGACTCTCTTTGCGCCCTGATATACAGAAAGTAAACCAATTGCTCCACCTAGACCGATTACAAGATATGTTGATGACATAAATTTATAAAGCACAAGACATAGTGTCAGTCATTTGGCTACAGTGAAGTTAGCTAAGAACTGTGGCCATGCCATTTCGACTTATACATGTAAACATTCACAGAAACTATTTCCCAAGGAGTGGAATAGAGCCAGCGATGTTTAATTGTTATGACGTTTGTAAACTTTCCATTATGGATACACAACATTTTGTGTCTTTGACAAAACGTGAATTACCTATATTTATTTAAACAATAATTGCTGACAGTACAATCTAACTTGACCGTGCATGTAAATTATTTTATTTACACTGGCAAGTTACTTCATGTCAGAGTCAACATAGAATGTTTTTTGAATATTACTAAGGATGTAGATCTCATTTCAAAATAAAGACTGTCTCTGCTAGTGTGGTTTTTTTGTATCCGTCAGGCCAAATCACATGAAATATATCACCATATTTTGTACATTTTCTGCTCTTAGTTAAAGTCAAGATTGACTTGTATAATATTGATAATAACTCTAAAAGGATAAAAGTGCAGGCTAGCAACTCCAAACATGAAATTTCTTTGCAACTTACTGTTTTATTTATAATTTTTATTTATTTTGATTGCTTGACTGACTAGCAATAGAAAAAAGTGTTAAACAATTTATCTACATTTTTTTGTAATTTATATGAACACTTTTATAGTAATTAACTAATATTCCATTCTTAGGTTTTACAGTATCCTTCTTATAATTTACTGTGGTTTAATCATACTCTACAAGTATCTAATTCTCTTTTGTTATTTGTTGTTGCTGATATTCAAAAATAGTAAGATTTCTGCTACAAATAATTTGAGAGCAATTTTCTACGAAAGACCTCATTATAGTACCGTATGTTCCTAGTGAGATTCTCAAAACAGAAAGATTAAAGGGGCTATGCCACACTATTTTTTAGGCATTGAAACCATTTGCTATAGACCTTTGTCACAACGGCCATTTTGTCCCAGCAGTTAGCCTGGCAGTAAGAAGGAGGCTAGCTGGGCAAATACAAAGCTTTTTTAATCTCTTGGGACAAAATGGCTGCCACATGACAAAGGTCTATTGTTTGTAGCTATGAATGGCAAGGATGAACGTTGATTAAAACTTGAAAAAATTTTGCCACCCTTTTCAACTTTTAAAGCTTTGTGCTTGCAAAAATTACAATCATAAAAATTGTTACAGTTAGTGCTCCATGATTAAAATTTTTTTTGGTTATCTTCTTTGAAACTCTAAACAGGTACAAGTATATGATTGTTTTTACATGGGTTAAGAGTCTAAGTTCTGATGTATACGTAAGCCATCCATGAACATGCTATGGTACAACTAGGCAGCATAATGTTATTGCAAAAAGAAGGTGGTGTCCAATAGCTCTGGACTGGTGGATTTTGCTATTGCTCTAGTGGATTTCATTCTTAACTTGCCCAATGTACAGGACAGTGACGTTTTTTGAGGGATTAAAATTACAGTCTAAGAACTGTGTAATCATTGCAGTTACCTCATCAAAAAGTATTTGGGGCTAGTTGAAATGACCTTTGGGCTAATGCATGCTACTAGCTCATACAGCTTGCCCAAATGACAAGCTGTATAACTGACTTTCTTTGCACCCTGCTGATTTTGATGTCCATCAGACTTCTAGTCCCCTATTATTTCATAAATACTGTTGTAACTCGCATTCATCTAGGATGCAGATGTACCAAGGGGAGAGGAAGCTGCGATCCAAGTTTACAGAAGTTAAAGAGGAAGGATTTCATTCACACCTCCTGGATGTGAGCTACAGTGATGTGAGGACAGTCCCCCTATTCTCCCCAAATCAGTGATCCTATACCCCCCACCCCCTCCCAACCCCTAGTCCCAGGGTAGAACTGATATTCATCCCTAGGTTGCACTCAGATCATGGGCAAATTAGAAGAAAAAAAAGAAAGAAAGAAAGAGAGTGATTATCTAATGTGTTTATGTAAAGAATAAAAGTACAGAGGAGGTGGCAAATTGACTGGGTTGATAAAGCTGTTGCTGCCAATCCCACTTGCTGCCTCACCCTGTATGCCTCCATAAGGCCTTAAAAACGCCCGTTTCACTACTCTATTTCAGACAAGAGACTGTCCAACCCATATTTAGGCTATTGAATCTGCCCTCCCACACAGATGTACATGTACACTGATTGAAATCTCCGACATTGTACAGCCTGTTCAGGGCAACACCCTGGTTGAGAGGCTAATAGCAAAATTGTGTACTCAGTTTTATTAAGACTCTCAACCCCCCAAACCCATACCGTGTTAACCATTAAGGCCAAATAAGGGAGTGCTTTCCCCTGGGATGCAAAGACAGTATAACTCTTCAGTACTTCTTGTTTTTGCCTTAGGTGTCCTTGTCGCTGCTGGGGATCTCATCACCCAGCAATTTGCTGAGCAAAGAGGCACAAATCATGACTTCAGAAGAACAGCTCGTATGGGAGTGGTTGGACTAGTTATTGGCCCTGTGCTAAGATCATGGTGTCTTACACTGGAGAGGATTGTCCCTGGGACTGCCAAAACTGTCGGCTTTAAAAAGATGCTGCTGGATCAGAGTCTCTTTGCTCGTGTTATGATATGCTTCTTTTTCAGTGTGTCCGAGACACTTGCTGGGAAAAAACCACATGAAATCAAAGAGATGCTCTAGGAACGCTATGTACAGACACTGATCACAAATTATAAGATCTGGCCCCTTGCACAGACTCTGAATTTTACGTTTGTTCCTATTCAGCACCGCGTTGGCTTTGTCCAAATTGTAGCAATATTTTGGAATGCATACCTGTCATGGATGGCTAACAAGCCATCACCTGATACTGCAGCCTTAACTGTTAAGGGTTCTTTGGAGCTGGTTCAGTGATGTGACTCACAGCACCCTCTGTTTGGTTAGTTGATTCACTTGAGGTTAACCATATCTTTTAACTACATTTATGATGTTAATATTTCAAATACAGTTACACTGTAAAAGTACTAATATTGTTGTGATTACAATATTTATATAAATTAAAGCTATTTACAATTCAATGGCACAAACTATAAAAAAAAGTGATGTTTAAAATATTGGAATCACATTGTAATCTGACATTGAATGAGGTTGAGGATGAAAACTCGCATCTACAGACAATCCTTCAACTAATTCAGTTCTATTAAAAAGAAGACTTAGTGTAGATAACATTCCCTTTTTTGGTCCTAATTTGAAGTCAGAAAAGAAAAAAATAGTCTGTCACAATACCCAAATATGAACAAGGTCAATTTCAGCTTTTCATTTTTTATCACTGGCATTAATGTTACATTATTTGATTGCCCTAAGCACCTTTATCTAGCAGGTACGTAGCAAATTAAAATAGATTGGTAAAAGTGTCATTAATTTTGTTCATAACTTCGGAGGACTTTGAACAGTGTAAAGAAGTTGGTATCCTGGGACCAGGCTCCTTGGTGGGGGAAAAAGGCAAAAAAGAAAAGGGTGAAATGGGAAAAATAACAGTGAGCAATCGAAGCAAGCTTAGTGGTGGGGAGGACTACCGCTTGGCTTGCATTGCTCGCCCAACGGTTTTTTTTTTTCGCCAACACTATTTTTTTCCTCCTAATTTCCCCCAATGTGGAGCCTGGGCCCAGACTAAGAGGTTGGTTGTATCTTCAAGGTTCCACTGCATTTGGTGGTAGTAGAGGGGATGGTGTTTACACAAAAATGGTACCTGACGTACTTTCTGTTACCATTGCTTATTAATTTTCTTCAGGCATATTTGAGTGGTTGGGGTGGGGAGGGTGTGTGTGTATGTGTAACGGGCTGGGTGGGAATGATGCTATGCTATTATGTAAGACTGGAGTAGCAAGCCTTTAGTAATATTCTATTGCATGAGCAGTATTCCTCAGAAACCAGAGCAAGTAAATTTTTAAATAATACATGGTTTAAATTTTACTTACTTGTTTCTATTATCATATGATTATCACACACTGATAACTCTACAGAACTCTACGGGCAGGAAATAATAAATTATTATAAGGCTGTTTTCAAAACATTGTTGGAGTGTTATTGTGTTACAAGGAATAAACCAATCAGGTAAAATAAGTATACAACGCATTGAGTGTATACTTATTTCAATGTGATTTGTGCGATGCAAATTATGTCGGGTACACTGCCCGACACTTACATCAACGCATAAGTGAACACCGTTATTCAGTCATCGGGAAACACCTTGAAACACAGCATGGCAACAACAGAACAAAGACTGACCATCTTTTCAAAATTCTGAGGAAGTGTAACAGCAAGTTTGATTGCTTAGTCTACGAGATGCTATACATAAAGGACATCAAGCCTTCTCTTAACACGCAAGCCGACTCAATTCGCGCCAAACTATTTACCTGACTCTTTCGTACGTTTTATTTTCTTTTGTTGTGTTTCTTACCTTGGGAATTATACCCCATTGGACCCGCAAATATTTTGTGTATTGTTTCAAATTTTGTATAGTCGTTTTACACCTTATACTTTTTCACCTTTCAACTTGATAATGGCGTAACGTAGCGCCGAAACGTCGTTCGCTTTTTTAAATGTTTTTAAAATGTATTTTAAACATCTTTTAGCGTTTAACTTTTTGATCAAATCATTTTCGAAATCTCTCCTGTTACGTAAAAATATTAAGCTACAAAAAACGCGCTCATATTTCATGTGTCATCTGTCGCGCTCATGGTATGTAAAAAAGGCAAAAACAGATCGTGATCTTTCTGCAAAACATGAAGGCCAATGACTTGTTCTTCAAAAAAGTGAACTTTAATAAGCAATAGGACGGCAGAGGAAAGGAGACAGCAAAACTTCTGTGACAAGAGTGACAATCAGTAATTTTTGAAAAAAAATTCCGCCAAACTTCAATTCAGAAGATCTTTTCGTAAAAGGAGGTGGGCGTAAGGGGGGGTACGAATACCGCAATACCGCATGTGGTAGAGAGAGAAAACCGCAATACCGCATTAAGAAGTTGCCGTTCTCAAGACTAAAATCCGCCTTTTGAATAGTGTTTCCAAATTAAGGTGCGTCGATGTTAAGCATACGATAAACATACACGTCCGACCATCGCAATCGTCTTTGTTAATATCAAACGTTTTCAGTGAAACTCATATACGATAAGGTCCGATAACTGTCAGTCCATTTTTTCAAGTACACTGTAGGACAGGAAAATGTCGATAATCGATGTGCTGTTGAGATAGGTTAGGAGTAAGTACAATCAGGTAGTACTTACCAAACGGTTTCCCTGAATTTCCCTAGCCTCTTCTCCCCTCGATTTACCAAACAACGGAACTTTTTTTTTTTTCTGTAATTTTCGCCCCCTTTTCCTTCTTCGTAGAAAATTGCTACGACCTCACTATTTACCGGATTATCTGACTAGTCACTCTGTTTACCATCTGGATCGCTCGCCATTGTTTCGCGACTGGCACGAAAAAGACGGTAAGGTCGGTAAGAACGTTAGCCAAGAACACATTTTAGGGCACTTTTTCCTGCGAAAAGAGCGCATTGTCTGGACTCTCTTTGCGCAATCATGACGGTCCCTGACTGTGCAACTAGGGAGACACGCAGGCTAGGGGGGAGACCTTTTAGGACTCCTTTTAGGTTTTGTCAGGAACCCATAGATTTTTATAGTTGTCATGCTTTAAAGAAACGAAGCAGATCACAGCGTGACAACAATTTTTTCCCCGATTACCGCGTCAAAATTTAAAATTACCGCATAGTTAGACTCTGAAAACCGCAACACCGTACTTTGAAAAACAAATTACCGCAAAATCGCACCAAAATTAACCCAATACCGCAAAGCGCCGCGCGTGGAACTCCGCTAAGAACACAACGTTAAGTGAAGATCACGAGAAAACGCGCAAGTAATAGCCCTGTTACGTTTGTCATAAACAAACGTTTTGCCGCCCTCTTCTTTCTGCACTCCTTTTCTATTTTTCACTCGACCATTATTTTTTTTTCGACGTCGGTTTTCATTCTTGTTCGGTTCCTTTTTGCACTGCGCGCGCAGAGTGCTCCAAGTGTTCGAAAGTGCCGCGTCACCACAATTCGTCATGAAACGTCCCCATGGTAACTGTAAGTTTTGAAAGTTTTAGTTCGCATTTGTTTTGTGCTACTGTTTGTACCACATCACCTTTTTTAATGAAAATATTGGCGCAATTGTAACATGCACAGGTTGAAAAAAGGTGTTTCCGTTTCCGTTTTTGTAACGGTTATCTAACGGAAACCTGAATATCCGCGGACGGAATTGTAACGGGGAACACGTGTATCCGTCATGTTTCAGTTTCTGCGGACACGCTTAAACGCATCCCTTATACTCGCGTTTCCGTCAGGTTTACTCTTGCGGAAACGCTAACTGCCGTCATGTTTCCGCAGCTCGTAAATTCAGAGGATACTCAATTATCCGTTGAGTTTCCGGAACAATGAATGCGGAAACTCAGTTTGACCGGTTTACTTTCTGCAGCCTTCATGTTTCCACAGATTCCGCTTTCGGTGGATTATTCACTGGATTTCCTAAATGTGTTTACTTTCCTTAACCACCCAGTTTCGAATCATATGTTCATTCTATCCGGTATATAAAAAAGTGGACGTTTGTGAGACAACCCTGGACCGTTTCATGCATCCACAATGACCCATTTTCGCTGATACACACAAATCAAGCTGAGTCATATTTAGGTGCATTTTTGGTATTAAAGTTTTTATTAAAATAATTCTATCTCCATTTTCATATAATATGTACATATGTATATTAAATATTTTCACAATAAAAAGAGACTCCTTACAATGTATTCCTATTTTCTATATCCAAAACTGTAACTTTTCAATTTCAATAGGCCACTTCCGAGTTCCAAAAACCCTCACTTTCAAAATGAGGCGAGGTGCGCAACCTTTCTTGTGAAATGAGTTTTATTTGCACGAGAATGAAAAATGATTTCCATATCAAAGGCTGAGCACTTAACCTCGTTTTGAAACAGAGGCCCTGGGAACTCGGAAATGGCCTATTAAATAATCCTTTTAGAATTGACAAAATTCAAAATTTTTTCCTTGAAATGATTAGATTAACATAGTAATTATACAGTCTAACCTCTTCTTCTGGACACTTCTATACGACGGACAGTTCGTTTGGTCCCAGAAAAGCCAAAAATCATGCAATCCTTACCTCTGTAATATAGACACCTCTATAAAGCGGACACTTGGTTCTGTCCCTTTAGTGTCCGTATTAAAGAGGTTTGACATTATTATAAGTAACGTGCATTTCCATTCCAAAATAACTCAAAGAAGTAGTTCACGGCAAAATTATTACATAATTTAATAAGAAAAATAATATTATTACAAATGAAAGACTTACTTAGTTACATGTAAGACTGCATAAAATCCCATTAGGAAATCTAAACTGCTGCCTTAATTCTTATTAGCAAGTACCAGTACTTGGTGGATCATCCCCAAAAATTATTGTTAAAGCTTACACAAACTGATGAGAGGCCATTATTGGGGAGTATCTGGCTGATGCTACAACGACGATAGTGATGCAAACAAAACTAGCCATAGGCTTTATATACAAATGTATAAGCCAACATCTCTACACATGTATCTCACTTATTGTCGCCACTCTGCTGTAAGTGCCTGGCTACAACTTGGACCTGGCTGTGGCA